TTACGAGAGGCACCGGCATTTATGCTTTAGGGTGCACGGTTAACGGACGCAAGCCTTAAAGCCCTAGATCTGCCGCCCGCACTTGTGGTGTTGCAGAGGGTTTCGGCGGGGGCATCGGATGGGTGTCGGAGGGTTTCCATTCGCTCGCTTGATAATCTTCGCGCGAGAATGCAAAAAAAGCTTAATTTGAATTTTCGCGCGAGCGTTTTTTTTTCTCGCTCGAATCTCTGTTTTTTCGTTTTCGCTTACGTGAATCCGAGTAGCCGAAAGCTGGAGTTATTTGTCAGGGTTGTTTGAACCATCGCCGTTTGGTGACGTAGACGGCGATAAACGGCGATTAGATCTACTTCTGTGGAAAGTCGGACGGTGTTTACAGAGACGATGGAGCCAATAGAGGGCATTTACTTGCGACAATCAATTACTCACATATGAATCATCGGCGAAGGGTATGGTTTGCGGTCGGTAAACTACATTTCGATTAATGATGCGTGGAGTAACTCCTGTGTTATCGCAGATCAGTAATACCGCAGCTACCCTTAATACGATGCGAAAACAGCACCATGCAAGGCTACGAGAGTTACCCTCCGCATAATTTGTCAACAAAAGACAAAAAGTACTGTAAAACGCACCGAACGAGTTCCAACAACCTCGGCTAGGTAATACTCGGCCGTTCGTAAAGATCCTCCAGTCAGTTTCCAAGAAGAAGATCAGCCGCGCGCCCGTAAAACGGCGTTCATCTTCTCTCGTCAGCGCGGCTCGCCGAGGTGGATCTGGGGAGGCTTAGGGGTGCTTCAGTCTACCGCAAAGGGCTTTGTTAAGCGCGGTCCCGCCTCGTCTTACTCATCCTGTTATAGATGCGGATGGTGCAGTAATTAAGTGTCTTTTGCTGTTTCCAAATTAAGATTACCTATGCGGTATCAGTATGTATCGAAGCTTCACAAGGCTGAGCACAGATACAGTTCGGTACGGCACGGTACTGTACTTGGGCACGGGATGTGTAATCTGTAAGTTGTATGTTGTATCTTGTACCTGGACTAGGACTATTGGGGTAAGTACTCGATACAGTGCTCTACTATTTGGCCAGATGGAAGGGAGCTATCTGTGCAATTGGTGGTTTTACGATAGCCTGTGTTTTTAGCAATATGTTGTCTGTGAAAGTAATCACTACTGCACTGCACTGCACTGCACTGCACTGTCTTAATAGTATTCGCACGGATGGGGTTTCTGATATGTAATACAGTACAGTACAATATACTCAACAGCACGCAATACTCTATCTCCAAAGCTGATAAAGAGGACACTGCACAGTTTTGCATTTGCTCAGTAATCGAGAAGTAAAATGAGTATGATACCCGGCGTGACAATGAAGCCACAGCATGAATGTTAGGTCATCAATCTCTCACATTTCCGCCGCAGATCAGTAATTCCGAGACGCGTTGATTATCTATCATTCTCTCTGACTCCCGCATCTATTCTGGTCCTAATTACTGTACCTAGCAAGAACTTATCTCTAATTTCAAATATGCCCTTAATTAATCAGGAAACTAAGATAAAAGAGGTGCCTAAGTCAACAGTAATCCCGTAGGGCTGTGGTACGCGTAAATGCCCAAAGCACTATCTCGATTAGGACAGCTTCTTGTTGCCTGAAGCGGAAATGTGCTGTATCTGACATAAGAAATTAACCCACCGTCGCACACTCTGCCCTAATTAATCCCAAGATTAGAGTTCTTGTGCGACCCTGCCACGTGTGTGGACCCTTTTGCTGAAATTGCGGCTTACTTCAAGGATAGTTCTGCTGACGAAGACGTATCAACGGCCGTTGCATGTTGCGGTTGGAGTACGGTTCGGGATGTGGAGAGTCCATCGGCCGTCGGACGGATGGGATGTAGATACTCTACAGCATCAAGCAAGACGGAGGAACTCGGACCCTTATGTGTTCCCTTCCCCAGGTAGATCTGGAGTTCTAGGCTACTGGTAGTCTGATACAGCTCTGTGCTGTAGTTGTCCAGCGGGACAGGGAGCGGGCGGTGCGGATATTGCTCGGTATCGTGCAGTATCATGCGGATGTACCTATCCCAGTATATGATTCCCTGGATTGGCTACCGCAGAGATATCCTAAATCCGTACCGTGCCGGTGCTGTTGATTCTAGAATGGCGATCTGTGGCTCTAATCGGGTATTGCCCGTATTGAGCTAATTCCTTCTGGAGTTGGATTTGATGACTGCTGGAGAAAGGTTTCTCTAATGAGAGATGATGATTGGCTAATTTTCGATTCCCAGCTATGTGATTTGTTCCTCTCCTTATCAGAACAGTCAATCTTCCTTCTTGCAATCTAGAAGACTGTCAGTTGACCGTGGAATAAGAATCTGAATGAAGAGTGAATCAACGCGGTTGACTTATCTCTCCAGGCTCGTCACATTCCCAAATATCATTGCTTCTAGCTAGCAATTCATTTCTGTTAATTTGCTTGTCTCTCTTTCTGATGTTGATCGCATAGCAAAGTATGCATGAGCACTCAATGTACAAACGATTTATCTTCGCCCAAGAATTAATCTTGGCATACACTCTTATACTTCAAGTAGTTCGAGTAGAGCTCCCATGGATCTTTCTCTCCTCTATACTCATCTTTCCTTTCCTTGAAGAACTCGGCCAAAGCCGCTCTAGCTCTAGAAGCGTTCTTCGAATATAGCGCTTTATCAATTTCCATTAGATCAGCTTCTTCAGAACGACTTATCACTGAGTCAAATTTGAATTCGTCCTGCTCGAATGCAGAGGAAATCGATCCGAGCTCAAAGTTGACCTTAGGTGGATCGCAACGGCGTAAGATATGGCTCTGCCACACGGGATCCAAGTGTGATTTTCCCTCCCCAAGATCCTTCCAGACTGTTAGGAACATCGACTTACGTACTGTGTCGATCTTCTTAAAGTCAAGTTGAAGTTCTGTGAAGCAATATTTGCATTTCATCAATCTGACAGGCTTGTCATGACAGAGATGGGTATAGGGGTCCGGCTGGCTGCGCCCTATTTGAAGCCTCCGATTTAACATGCTTATGTGAGGACACACCCGTCTGCACCTGTTACCTCCTTGAGTGTAGGTGTCTGTTGAGCTTGGCATATTTATAGTTTGACATCGCACGAGAAGTCTATTTCCGTGTATCTTAGCATAAAAATACGTCCATATAATACCGTTGACTGGACCAATTGTAAGTTCCTTCGAAGATAGGTGTTTCAGTAGCCCCTGATATGGACGGTTATTTTGATATTCTTTCATTAACATGCGGAATATTATTGGATTGAAATAGTTGGACATAAAGGAATTAGTTAAATCTGCGATATAGGACTTCCTCGCGCAAGCTGGCAGCCCATATTTGGATCGAGAATATATGATATGCCGACTGATAGTTTTGGGAGTAATCAAGTGGTATCGTTTACAGTGGAAGCATGCAACGCGGTCAGGTAGCGCGCTTGCCAGTAATACAGCGAAAGCATAGCGGCTGTGACGATTCTCATCCTTTTTCAACGGTTCAAGGTACTTTTCCTTGAGAATTTCATATAGATACCGACAAGTAAGTGATAAAGCTGCCGACGACTCAGGAGGCAGGAAGTCGGTGACGCAGCGAATAAGTTCTGGAGGGAGCTTCAATTGTCTTGAATATGACTGCTTGGGAGCTGTTTCTCTACAATTAGATTGCCTTGAACTCAATACTCTTGAGCATTGGGCCTCGAGATCTTGGATCTTCGACAGGGAAATTTGGGACGATCTGGATCTAAAAAGATAGGTTAGCAGACGATACATTTCTGATCCACTTGGCTAGACATGTGCCTAGCCAGGCACCAAGCCATGTTAATGAATCAAAGAGAGAGTACATTATCGATTTATATATAGAATGCAATACCAGTCTAAATCAAAACTGTTGGTAGTATAGTGTCTAGTTGAAATGAAAAGTGATGTCTGTTAGATTCTGGACCGGATGACGTACATGTAGTTTATATCATGTCAGTGCGAAATTTGAAATGCTATTCACATTAGATTCCTTAGTCTAACTGTTAATTTTTTTTTTTCATCAAGTCAATTATTGACGGCTACTACACAAACTTGCTTCACCTTATATGATGCGATTATCTATAATTCAGTCGGGAAAACTAATACTTGCACTCCAAGCCAGCATGAAATTCTTCATGTGACTACACTATTCTACAAAGTAAATATACTGGTTTCTGCGCATAGTCAAGTACCTTCAAAGCAAAGTTTCGAGAGTATTAATATACAAATTACCAAAGCCCATGTTAAGTTTAACCTAGTCAAAGTTTAACAGAGAAGAGTTGAGAACAAACATCATAAAATATCCCTTAACATTAAGCCAATCAAAAACCCCTCTTGAACATCTCAATTCTAATACCATCAGTAATATTATCACTAAAGCTAGGAATGAGATAAATGCTCCGAGAAAGCATAAGGCAAACTGTGACAAGCATAAAGTCCGTAATATATGTTTGTTCTGTAGGATTACAACTGCCAATTGAGCGTAGATGCAGATAATTGTAACAAATTCACCACTCTCCTGTAACACGAAGCCTCAGATATCATAGTAATTCTAATATGAACTTCGGCTGCTGCCCGCAGCTTTCATGTTTTTGCAATTCATACGGCCAATAGAGTTACGACTGCAACTTCGGGAGCTACACCAATGATCCAAGCCCTTCTCGATACGATCCGAGACACAATAACAGAAGAATTCCTACAACACTCGTATATATTTTTCGAATTGGAGGGGTAAATATGGATATCCGTCTAGCTCAAGAAAGGGAATGTAGGGGAGACCCCGATGTCCGCGCTGTCACAGCTATACCGTACTCATTCCAGACCCATACAGTATATGCTGCCATTGAAATATCATACTGCCATTCCCTCAATCCGAGTCTAGTGAGTTTGATTGAAACTCCATGGCAATATCTTAGCGGACTATCTAGTCTTACAATATCGCTCGCAAACACAGCCTGGACAGATGGCCGAGTTGGTTATGGCGCCAGGTTAAGGTGATCCTTAACACAATTTCCTGGTCACGAAAGTGGTGAGTTCTCTTGGTATAGTTATAAATAACCAATCATTAACAACGCCTAGGCGTGGGTTCGAGTCCCACTCTGTTCAAATCTTCGATTTTTTTCCACACTTTTGAAGTGTGAATATTTTTTGTAAATCCTTACCCCAACCAAAGCCATAATTTAGAACATACTAGATATGAAAAATGTGCATATTTTACTGTTAGAATCCCACCGGAGAGAAGACTCTACGTGAGCACACGTCAGGCCCTGGTGTTATTACATATATTCTACCATGTCCTTAAAACTTGAGATTTGCAGTAATAGGCTAAGTTCCTGGATGTACAATCTTACGGGATGTAAGACCTTGGGAGCGGGGCTCATAAGGTGGTGGGATCCTCGAGCGCATGAGGAATTAAGTCAAGAGGATTGACCCTAAGACCTGTGGGTAGGTCTACCGTCTTATGACCCTCACTTAGCAATACCGCAAGGTCCAAAGCTAAATTATCTCGTGTTCAACTCAATTGATTTGCTTTATCATTACCACCAGTACCCACCTGAACAAAGCGTGTTATTCTTGCCCTCTAACTTTCATAACCATGTGAGACTAAGACGGAACTAATATTCCATATAGTTGTACATGGTGAATGCTTAGTCTCCTCATTCATTAGCTTTATAAACTTACCAATTAAGGTATACTTATTCGGTTCAGTGAATCTGAAGACAGTAGAGACAGGTATTAATAGTTAGTTGACCGTATCAAGAAGTCGACCTCGTGACTTTAGCGGCGCTGAAGGAACTACTCAGTTGTGCGCATAAACTCCGATAAAAATCTGGTCCAAATAGTAACCCCAATTAGATTTCAAGCTGTGAGGGGAATCGATTTTGAAAAATAAAAAAAACATGGGAGTATAGTGAACAGAGTGGGACTCGAACCCACGCCTATGATATTTGTTAATGACTGCTTTTATCGACACCAATTCAGTGAACTTACCACTTTCGTGACCAGGAAATTGTGTTAAGGATCACCTTAACCTGGCGCCATAACCAACTCGGCCATCTGTCCAGTTGTTACCCCGCGTGCAATTCAGTTTTATATTCGTTGGCTTCCCCTGAAAGCCAACACACGGCAGATTACAGAATTAGTCTTCATTCATTCCTGTATTGCATAGGAGGCTATCTAATGTTCTGTGCCCAATATAGGCAACTTTATTCCAAGTCAATACAAAAACTTTGCGAAACTTGTCAGGACGGCCATATGTTACGTCACATTTTGCACAGCAATCATTTCCCGGATAAACTTCAACCCGTCCGCCAATCATCACGTGATCATGTAAGGGGCAGTCTAGGCAGGTCGAGAAAGTGTGGCTTAGGTGTTTTCGCGATCCTCACAGTTTAACAGGTGTTCTAGACAGGAGTTCAGCAGATCTCCGACTCAAACACTTCAACGTCAGCCATCTCCAGTGGTTATCAATTGAATAGAAATAACCTGGTCATAACTTTGTTGGAGGGCTTTGGACATCTGAACCTGATCTATTAGAAAAGAGAGAAAGCATGGATTCGACGGAGCCGGAGGCAACCCCTTTTGCGGCTGTGAGCGCCCAAACATCGAAGCTTCAGCGGGTACGCTACTTCTTCACTTATGAGCGCACACTCTTTCTGGGACTACGATACTAATAATGATTATTTCAGCAATATCAATCTTACCTAGACAAGGCTACACCCCATGTTGGATACAGATGGATTGGGACAGCAACCCTGTTGGTCATCTTTTTCATAAGAATATTTGTCGCTCAAGGATGGTATATTGGTATGTTTGTTGTCTCAGTGATCTGAAAAGGTCTGGTCAGAGCTAATAAAATAATGCAGTGGCGTATTCCCTTGGTATCTACTTGCTGAACCTCTTCCTCGCATTTCTCCAACCCAAATTTGATCCTTCCAATGAGGCAATTGATAATGAGATGGAGGATGGTTCAGTGGGCACTTTACCTACAAAGCAGGATGAAGAATTTAGACCATTTATCAGAAGGTTGCCAGAATTCAAGTTTTGGCATTCCGCGACAAGGGCAATTGCCATTGCATTTGTATGCACCTGGTTTACAATCTTCGACGTCCCAGTGTTCTGGCCGGTACTAGTGGTCTACTGGTTTATTCTCTTCATTTTAACAAGTATGTGCACCCAATTGACGTTTTTGGATGCTGAATGGGTACTGATATTCTATAACCTCAGTGCGGAGACAGATCCAACATATGATCAAGTATCGCTACGTGCCATTCACTTTTGGGAAGGCGAAGTACAACAAGAACAGCAACTGAATAGTGTTATTGGGTCAAGGGGGAAGATGACTTGTGTAGCGCGTCACCAGCCCTGTTTATAGGGCATTGCATGTTTTATATGAACAATTGGTGTTTTCATGTTCCGGATCGACAGCTGGGTTGCTGCGCACCTTTATAACCTTTATTAATGACCTTCACCTGTCTACAACTAGGGATGAATGGAAATGATGCTACTTCGATGGGATGATGGTGTTAGTCATAGATAGAGACATCATAACATGAGGATTGTCAAGTAATAATGAAAACTGTAGCATCAATAGAATCATACATAACACGAGGGTTTATATGTATGAATTTTCTATAGAGGTTATAGTTTTTAGAATCGTACTGGAAGCTCCTGAAAATAATCTTATTGTTCGTAAGTGTGTATACCGCCTTAAACCCTGCACAATGGTAACGGTTCTAATATATAGAATAGGTTTTCCACTAGCCGCTAATGAAACGTGTAAAAGTTCAATTCAAACATGTGTCAGCTCTGGTCCTATGCAAATTTCTAAAGAGAGACTTCCTCTATCACATTTCTGTAGTGATATTGGGAGTCGCGTTGGTACTCGATATCATTTCTCAGCCTCGCGCTAAAGAGTCGCGCTAACGACATCTCACCTTCCAAAGAATTATTGGATTTGGAGCATCCAACAACAAGATTGCAACAATTCATCGCAGCAATACGATGTCTTCCTCAGCGTCTCGTGGTACGGAGCGTATGATCCATCAGGATTATATTGCGCGGATACGGTATTCTAATGCGCTGCCGCCTCCTCCAAACCCCCCGAAGCTCCTTGACATCCCGAACACTGGCCTTGCCAGCGGCCAGTACACCAATCCTGGCTTTGCTTCACGGTTGGCACGAGAGCAACCTCTCAACATTGAGGCTGATGCTGAATTGGGAATGCCACTGGATTTGGTTGGAATGCCTGGAATATTTGACGGTGATGAGAGTTGTAAGTAATGAGAAGGTGCTCCTCTACTTTGCGCAATCATTAATTTACGACTATATAGCTATCCAAGCTCCTCTGAATGCACCTGCTCCTCATCCGCATGATCGAGCGCTCCTTCGACCGTTATCCACCCTTGGAAAGCCAAAATTCTCGGACACAGGCGTCTCCTTCCTTCGACGGACAGAATATATCTCATCACACACATCCAAATCGAGATTTGAGTCAACTACCTCAAGAACACTCATTGATAATGTTGGAAATCGCATCAAGAAGCCCGCGCTAAATCTTGACAAAGAATCGCCCGAGTATATCAAGAGTGAGGTCCAGAAGAGTTTCCAAATTGCAGCTCAGAACTTGAAAGATCGGAGTCGGGTAAGGCATCCGTCGAAACGAAACGTAAAACTTGTGGAGGCATATCCTATCATTCCGGATCTGGATGCTTTCCCAGATGCTGGTGGATATCTTTCAATAAAATTCTTGACCAATCCAGTGGCTCCAAGCTCGACCTATGATACCCGTCTTGAAAGTAGTATTTTGCGACCAATCCCCCCTACTGAAGCCGAGGAACAAGCGAAAGAAGAAGCAAGAGAGCTTCATGAGCGCGATCCTGAAAGATATCCACCTCCAGATGAATCTATGGAATATGAGTTCTTCCTTCCCGAGACTGCGGATGAGGCCGCAAATTTCAAGCGGAAGTTTGATGTTATGGACCCCGAGAAAGATGACGACGATCTCTACACGAATACAAATGCTCAAGGAACGAAATGTTTCCGATTCAAGCGTGTGCGTGCTTATGAGAGTGCGACACAGGTTGGCACAGCTCTTGATAAATATGATGATGAAGTTGTAATCGCTGTTCATGATGGCTCAGATGGCCTTCACAAAAAGGCAGCTTATTATTACCCTATTTTACAGCGGACATCTATTCGGCCACAACGTACTAAGAATATCCTAAAGAACAGACCAGGATTTGCGGCTAACGCTGCAGACGAGGAAGCTAAGATCACTGACTGGGTCGACTTGCAAGTTGAGGAACCTACGGAAGAGATGAAAGGTCAGCGAGATGTCTTCAAAGATTATCCATATGGAAAGCCAGAGGAGGAGTCGAACGAGGATGCTGGCGGAGAGAACGAACAGAACGGGAGGTTAAACTCGTCCCAGAAAGACGATGACGATGATGAGGATAGGGATGCGGAAGCTGAGTCTGAATAGTTGGTTTAGGCAAATGACGTTGTAAAACTCGGTGATGGACGAGAGTATCGCTTTTCCAGAAGATAGGATCACATATTTGGCGTAGCATAGGACATGGGGCGTTATATAACTTCATAATGTGTATGAACAGAGAAGCATCAAAAAGCAAGGCTACAATAGAAGTTGTTTTCAAGATCTCTTGTCCCGATCTGGCCTAGTGAAATGATCCAAATGTAGCACGAAGTTTCTGAGCCTTTCATTATATGTGATATTCTATATACCTTATAGAACTGTATGTAGACCGACCTTCCAACAACCTTTCCACCTTTATACTCCGTTACACAATTAACCTAGCAAAGTTACATATACAAAGCCATGGTATCTAGTACAAGTTCATACCATTATAATACATAAATGCAACTAATCATTATAATGAAAATCCTATCTTATCTCTATCATCGTCAACGAGTCGTCCGTATCTAGATTTCGAAATGGTTAGTTTAGCGGAATAGAAACTAGTAAGGTCGAGGATAAGAACATACTCTAATAGTAATCTGAAAAACCACGCTTCTAGGTCCTCATTTCTCAAAGCTTTCTTGGCCCAGTCTTGGCTTTGCATTGCAATGCGTTCTGCTTCTCCTCT